TGCTCGACGCGGAATCGGGTCATCATAATTTTTCTCTTTTTTTTTTGCGTGCATCTTTCCCAAAAGACACGTCCGTTCTTCGAAAGGCTCCTCGAGCTTTGTACTCCCGGAATGATGTTGCATCGTGGATGCTGCATCGTGCGCGGCGGACCGGTTTTCTCTTGTGCACGGATCGTACGCGGACCCTCGTCGGTTCTCAGAGTCACTTTGTGTACGCGAGAGAGGCAACGCCGAGCGGTATAAACTCGCCGTCGCACCCTCCCCAGAAGGGAGTTCCAGTGCACTATGTCATCGTTTCCCGACGGCGAAAAACAATACCTACGAGCGACGTGTACACAGAGTGGCTCTCTCGCAGTCGCCGAGTCCAGCCTGCGAGCAACGCGCGCGAATCAACGCTTCACTCCGAAGTCCAGAGTCGAAAGCAAAGTGCAAACAACAATTGTTACAATACTGGATGCTCTTCAACAAGAGATACCGAATGCTTCCCAGCAAGAGACACAGATTACACAATTTAACACAGTTACTTCCTTGTTGTTTGCCACCGTTAGACAAAGATCACTGTGTTACCCTGTGTGTTGTCTGTTACTGGGACGCGTTCAGATTCTCACCCTGGTGCTACCCGGAAGTCACCCTTGTTCGGTAAATAATAAGGATAGAGTGATACCTGAGTCGGCACTCATGTAGAAATTTGAACATAGCCCTGGAAAACACCAGTAATTGGTTATAGTTGACACAGTATAACGCAGGGTGAATCGTTATATCTTTGTTTGCTACTGTTAAACGAAGATCAAATGAATGATCACCGTGTTATACTGTGTGTCTCTCTTGCTGGAAACACCAGTAATTGGCACAGTGTAACACAGTGAATTACTTCGTCCTTGTTATTTGTTAATGTTTAACAAGGATGAAATGATTCACTGCCTTATATTATGTCATTAGTGTCTCTTGCTGGAAAGCACCCACTATTGCCTCTTCGAAAGAAACGGATGTGAGACGAAATCGCCTCTTTCCGGAGTCTATCAAGTACGCTCGTTAAAATTTTAAAGAAGACGCGTAAAGCTTTGCGACATCGCGTGTTGACTTTCCCAGATTCCGTTTATATATCAAATAGGTCTATAGATAGCGGTCGATTTTTATGTCGTTATCTTATCGATTGGTAAACAAAGATTTTATTTTCACTTATTGTACGTATAGCCGAGAAGGAGAATTCACTAGACTCTAGAGGTATCGTTCGCTTTAATAATCCGTGATGGATTACTAGAGTCTCCCCAGCCGGCGGCTGGAGACTTATCCGACTGCGACAAAGTTGCAGCGCTTTAAACTGCAACACGCTACACTCCATTTGCTCGCCCGCTGCGTTCCCCGTGCACGCGTGAAATGCTTTTAAAGCGCAATCGTTCGTACGTTGACTCGGCGGAACGATCACGTCGGGCGAGACGTTCCGATAAGCGAGGAGTCTTCGTGCTTTTTGAGAGCGAAGATATCTTCTCGTATCTATCGGGATTACGCTCCTCATATTCGGCACGATAATCCTGCTCATCTGACTCGGATTTCTTCAGCGTGTGAGATTTCGTTCAGAGGACAAAAAACTTTTCACATTTCTGTCGCTACTTGTTCCGAGATAATGCAGTTGATGAAACTCTCTATACTTATTGTTAGATGAGAGGGAAACAGTTTGTTTTATTTCATAATAGCATCCACATGAAGTAAACAAGTATAAAGGATTTTGTAATTACATATGGAAAATTCACTTCCTGCGTAATGAGTTAGTTTTCACATACAATGTAGCTTATAATGTGGAAATCAAATGCCATAAACACTCGATAATGAGTTTTTGACTATGGTGTGTCAAAGGTATACTCTATATAAGCACAAGTTTTTCACATTTTACACTAAAATTTCTACACTTCGTTATGGAAATTTGTGTTTATGACAGCTTTTGTTTACCACATTATAATGACATTTATATGTGAAAACTAACTTATTTTACCGGGATTCAATTTTCCATCGATATATAATTGATGCAAAATCTTTTTTTTTTATTCTCGTTTATTTCACGCCGCTGTAAAATAAAACAAACTGTTTCCCTCTCATGTATAGGGTTTTATAATCATAATCTCTCGGAGAACAGAAATGAACATTGCAATAAATTGCGCGAATTTTCGTAGTTAAACGACAGTTCGATAAAAATTCAAACAAACACTGACAAACCACAGCGAAGAAGCTGTGTTGCACCGACTGATTCAGGTTCATTAGCGGGAACTCTCTTCATGACGCGACGATGACGGACGACAGTCTTTTCCCTGCCTTGACCTTACGCACGCTGTGTTTATGAGTCGCCGCGTGTGTACACAAAGATTATCTGATTCATTCGTATTCCACGATCGGCTTCCAAGTGTAACGGAACGCGCGTCTATCACGGTTTCCTGTACCCTTATACGACTCGAAACGCTAAACGATCGCCACTTGGGCGGTCAATCGCCTTTCCGAATTGCATAAGGCAACTGGAATACTTATATTGTTAGAGACACTCGACGGAGAATTAACTCAGAGATATTTATCGAATTAAAATGCTTCCGTCATAACAATTTTTATTTTCTTTTATATTTAACGATCAATTCTCTCTTTGGTATATAAATATACCAAAAAAGATTAAATTTCCTGACTGTGTGGTAAAATATTTTTTACAATAAATTCTTTAGTTTATAGGAGCTATTAATAGCATTATTATCAAATTGACAATCAATTGTTATATTATTATTTTAGTTTTAATTTATGGTTGCGTTATAATACCAACAATAAAAAGCTACGTATAGTTTATATAATTAAAAAATTTATTCAGAATTTATATTTAAAAATGTTATTAGGGACTAAAGATCCGTCTCTGTAAAGTTAGCACCTCAACTTTAAAAATCGGAAATTTTAATAACAGTACTGCTTGCACCCGCAATAGTTCTAGGGTTCCTGATAGGTTTCATCAATAGTACTGTTGATTTAGGCCAAAAATTAAAAAAAATAAAAATATGCGGTGCTAACTTCGCGTGGCACCGCAAAATTTGAAAAAGCCGATTTTTATGATGGAATCTTACAGTACTCGAAGAGTACTACAGTTCCTGATCGATTATAATAATAGTACCGGCCATTAAATATTTTTAAATAAATTTTTAAAAAAAGAGCTCGCACCTCAACTTTCAAAAAAATTTTTTTTTTTGCGCCATTTTGTAGTACTCGAAGAGTACTACAGTTCCTGATCGGTTTTAATGACACTACTCACCTTTTTAATATGTTCAAACAATTTTTCGATCCGCGCGCTGACACCGCACGTCAAGAGTAAAGTGCCCCTAAACAGCCAGTACTGGCCGACTTTTCGACTTTTTCCGACAGTACTACAATAGTTCCGAAGAAATATGCAGGTGTCGACCCGAGTCCTCCTTGTTTAATATGTTTAAATAATTTTTTTATTTTTCCGCTGGCACTGCACGACAAGAGTATAATGCCTCTAAACAGCCAGTATTCACGTCGACACCTGCATATTTCTTCGGAACTATTGTAGTACTGTCGGAAAAAGTCGAAAAGTCGACCAGTACTGGCCGTTTAGGGGGGCACTTTACTCTTGACGTGCGGTGCCAGCGCGCGGATCGAAAAATTGTTTAAACATATTAAAAAGGTGGGTAGTGTCACTAAAACCGATCAGAAACTGTAGTACTCTTGAAGTACTACAAAATGGCGCAAAGAAAAATAATTTTTTTGAAAGTTGAGGTGCGAGCTCTTTTTTTAAAAATTTATTTAAAAATATTTAATGGCCGGTATTATTGTTATAATCCATCAGGAACTGTAGTACTCTTCGAGTACTGTGAGATTCCATCATAAAAATCGGCTTTTTCAAATCTTACGAAGTAAGATTCGCCACGCAAAGTTAGCACCGCATATTTTTATTTTTAAAAATTTTTGGCTTAAATCAACAGTACTATTGATTAAACTTATCAGGAACTTTAGAACTATTGCGGGTGCAAGCAGTACTGTTATTAAAATTTCCGAATTTTAAAGTTGAGGTGCTAACTTCACAGAGAGACCTAAGATCCAGCCTCTCGACTGATATTGGCTCTTTTCTTATTTATTATTTACACATTTATTTATCTGTGTGCACTTAGATATATTAAATAATAAACTTGCAGTTTATTATTCTACTTCATATAGAGGATCCGCTTCTTTTTCGCGTTCAAAGGCAATTCATGAAGAAAAGATTGTTCTGCCCAGCTGGTCATTGCGGCAATCTTTGCTGTCCTTCGAATAACGGTCGATGTTTAGCACTCTGGCCACTTCCGGCCGGAAGTGTATAAGACTTGTGGTATAGCGGAAGCCGTGCTACCGTCGTCGGCTGGCACACAATATCGATCGCTCTTCCACGGCGATGCGATTTTATCGCCTCACTGTGCTCTTTCACGAGTTTACCTGCATTTTCGCGTATACGAGCATGTCACGGTCGAAGTAACACGCGGAATCGCGGTATTTGCTGGCAGTTGTATCACGGAACAATGTTGGCCTTTCCTGCCAAGCGGCAAGTCTTGAAATCGTAAAGCGCAGACACGTCTCGTCCTCGTTCGCACTCAACCGTATCGGGAATTAATCGAGGTTAACGAAGTTATAATCCTATTCTTCAATAACAATAAAAGTTTTGTTTAAATAATGTTAAACGGAAAATGCATATTATATATTATATACAATTTTTTTTATTATTACTATAATTATTATTATTAGATTATCAAAGACATATCTTTGGCCTCAAGTTGGATAAAATGCTCAATCCATAATAAAACTTAATGAGAATTTTGAATGAAAATGTCAATTGAAACGATGAATAGCTTCTTGCTCGCTATAAAAAGTGAATTATTGACTATATTATGTATGTGTTATTCGGATTCTCTCGAGGAATCCAAACATCTGATAAAGATGATAAACATAAAATTAATAATATTATTCTCGTTTGTTTTCTTTTACAGATCCAGACGAAGCGTGAGCTGTTTTTCAAAGGCGACGGCACGGGGATAATCTCGTCACCGTCAGTGCCGTCGGTACCACCACCGCAACCACCGACGCAGACCCCCGGATCTCAAATGAACAATTCGGTGGCGAACGCCACGACAGCCAGCAGTCTCACGTCTCCGAACACGACGCCAGTATATTCGAGTGGAGCCCTGACCGGGGTCAACGCAAAGTCGCGATTGCCGTCCACAGCGGTGACAACGACGATCACGAATGATGCCTCGGAAGACAGCAACAGGCGCGAGTCGGCACGTAACGCGATCTCTTCCAAGGAGGACAGTAACAAGGAGACCAGTCTGCTGCCGCCTAGACCTACGCCGCCCACCAAGCCCAAGGAGCTCGACGGTTACGTCGGCTTCGTGAATCTCCCCAACCAGGTGTATAGGAAAGCCGTAAAGAAGGGCTTCGAATTCACGCTCATGGTCGTAGGTCGGTAATGATTCCTAATGAAATTTGGGACAAGTCGTTTGCACGATTATCCTGACACGAATTGTACATGTTATTAACAGTAATTCTTTTAATACTTCAACGCCTTTTCGATATGGCATACTTCACCTTTTTTAATACTTTTCTAATGTTTTTCTCATTGCTTATAACGTTTTTATTAATAAAGATGCATATATTTGTTTGATATCGTTATGTTCATTAATGTTTGATTGAAAAAACATTATCAATATGTTTATCTGTATCAGTAATTGAATTATGTTGGACATGTCATATCCAAGTGTGTTGTTTCCGCAGTGTAACGTTCAAGGGGGCTAACATAAATTCGTTATTTTTAAATAATTCAGTTGCAACCTACTACTAAGGAACACGTACTATTTCGAGAGATAAGTCGATGAATATTTATGTTTATAAAATATAGAAACGTGTATGAGCATTTTCGTAAAGCAACTCGTGGTCGAATCGATATGAAATAATCGCGGCGCTCATAGAAACGCCGTGAAGTCTATTGTCGAGATCGAATTTCTGTTTGCGGTGAGAAACGCGATCTCACTTCACGGGGGCTGGACATTAAAATGCCTATTATACGGAAGAACAACGGTCGTCTGTCTCGCGAGAGCTGGCCCAGGCAGAGGACAAAGGGATCTGTTTCTTCGGTAGTTGCAGCGGTATTCCCATTTCGTCGGGAATATCATCTCGCGATGCAACCTCCCATCTGCCGAGCACGTGCGAGTTCTTCTCTTTCTCTTTCGTTTGGTTCTCTCCTCGCTTGTTGGATCAAGGCTGTCGCCGAGGTTCAGCGGTTCTCACACGCGAGGATGCTCATCCGCGGAACACAGTCAATTTCGACCTTCGTCGACTGTCGAATCCTCTTCTCTCTACATCTACCTCATCATTATTTATTTATTATTATGAATTACTATGATGCATACTCGAGACGGCCAATTTGCGGTAATAATGCATCGCGTTGCGAATTTACCGATTGAAAAAGGCAATAAATTGTTAATTGCAGCGTGTATTTTTTCTCTTTGCTTAGATTTATTAGCTCCGGTTTCCTTAACTATAGGACGGAGGAGCAGTATAATTGAAGGCTTTTAACGTATGGATATGTCATATTTGTTTAATTATCTATATCCTTTATAACGAATGATAAATACTTTTATAAAATAAAATTATGTTGATCTAAAGATATATACGCAACATTAGCATGGAAAACACTTTAAGAATTTAGCTGGGAGTTTGAGGAGGAGGAGGAGGTGGTGGTGATGGTGGTGGTAGTGGTGGTGGTGGTAATAAAAGTGCTGACTAAAGTGCTGTCGATCTAGAACGAAGCGCGTGCACGCGGGTGTGAAAGAGTGTCATTGGGTCTGGAGAAATTTGAGAGCGTGGTCTGCTGCGTGCGGGGGTTATTATTAGTCCGCGTATAAGCGGAGCCGTTCCTCCGTAAATAGAGAACACACAATTCAAGAGCTTACCCTTGGCTGAAGGCGTAGGCGCGGCACTTCGCCTGGTTCAAGGTTCGCGCATTAAGAGGTCACGGCATTCATTTCATCTTATTATGTTTCGGACACCGTCATCGAATTTATTTGACCGCGGATCCATTGAATGCGAGACATCCTAGAAATGTCGACCATAAATATTTGGACTGAGATTAATAATCGTTATGATGGGAATATTTAATAACGAGAAAGTTATTTTTGAAAATTGAACAGTATTTATGAAACAATATCCAAACGAATATATTTGAAAAACAATTGTTCAACTGAAATATTTTAAAATATTGTACGCTTAAAATATCTTTTATGATATTTCTATAATTATAATTATAGATCGTATAAATGTTTAATCAAATTATTTTAGTAATTAAAATAATTTCGTTTCTATTCTGCTACTATAATTGTACAATTCGTGTTAAATTTAGTTATTCAATTTTTAAAAAAGTCCTAAATTAAATTGTTCCAGAATTACGTATATCTGTCGCAACATGCTAAGTTTTCATATTTTTATAGGAGAGTCGGGTCTCGGCAAATCCACCTTGATCAACTCTATGTTCCTGGCAGACATATACAGTGCCGAATATCCCGGACCCAGTCTCAGGATAAAGAAGACAGTTGCCGTGGAAACGAGCAAAGTGTTATTGAAGGAGAACGGTGCAAATCTCACCCTCACGGTCGTCGATACACCTGGTTTCGGTGACGCTGTGGACAACAGTAATTGGTAATCTGATGAAGCAATTCAAAGTTTGCAATTAAATTCCACGTATATTCGTTTTTGAACTTGTACAACTTATTTGAATACTTTCTGTTTTTATTCAGTTGGGTGCCAGTAATAGACTATATCGAGTCGAAATACGAAGAATTCCTTAATGCAGAGTCCCGCGTGTCGAGACGACAGATCCCAGACAGTCGAGTGCACTGCTGTCTCTACTTTGTCGCACCCTCCGGTCACGGATTGAAACCGCTCGATGTGGAATTCATGCAGCGTCTCCACGACAAAGTTAATATCATACCTGTTATTGCCAAGGCGGATACCATGACGCCGGATGAGTGCGCACACTTCAAGAAACAGGTAAGATTTATCTATAATGTAATATAATTTTAAAGGAAAAGGAAAGAATGTGCTTTACTGAAAAAGTACAGGAAACATAATAGTAATGTACAGAAATATTATTTTTAAGAAACTCTTTCTCATATATATCTTATATGAAAAATATTAAAATATTTAATAGCAGTTCGATAAATCTGGACTTGTTTGTGTACTTCTTTTTCTAATTATCATCAATAAATTTAATGTTAAATTTTTCTAAATTATTAATTTAATTATTGTTTCGTTTTTCAGATCTTGAACGAGATTGCGCAACACAAAATAAAGATTTACGAATTCCCGGAAGTCGAAGAAGAAGAGGACAACAAATTCCATAAATTGTTAAGGGATAGAGTACCATTCGCAATCGTGGGAGCGAATACAGTTGTTGAACACGACGGGAAGAAAATACGAGGAAGAAAATATCCATGGGGAATTGCAGAAGGTATACACGGATCACTGAATTGAAATTATTGTGCATGTAACATCAATATACATGTATAACTTACATGTATATTGATGTATAGGATCTACAATTTAACGCCGAATCCGAACGGCGCTGATGATCTTTTGATCACCAGATGGAGCCATTTTTTTTGGCTCATTAAACGCGAAAAAATCGCGTTTGGGCGCACGTGGGATTGAACTCGGGTCTACCGATCGCGAGTCAATCGTACCGAGCAGTGAGCCACTCGACGCCACATTTTTACACTGTTTATATTAATATAAAATAAGTAGTACATCAAATCGTAGATAAGTAAAAATTTAAAAGCCATTTTAATCTTAGAAATATGAGTAGAGCATATTTTTCCTCTATATGCAAATAATATATTATTTTTTATAATTTATTTCATTTCTTTGCGTATAGTTGAAAATCTGGAACATTGCGACTTTATTGCGCTTCGAAACATGGTAGTAAGGACGCATATGCAGGATTTAAAAGACATTACGAACAATGTACACTACGAGAACTTCAGGTGTCGCACCTTGGCCGGTCTAGGCGTAGACGGCAAACCGACGAAGGCCTCAAATAAGTAAGTACATTCGTACGATTTCTCCTCATTTGATTACTGTATTAGAATAGTTTTGTCGACAAGTAGATTTGTCTTGTCCTATCGAAATAGACAAATCGAGCGTCATGATTAATAGAAAAAGGTAGCTAAATTAATTCGATCATTCATTGTTAGAATCAACGATAAAAACTGTAGCCCCAAAAATATCTTTTAATATAACAGCCGTTTAGCCTCATGTGTATAATGCGGCCCAATTTATTAATTCACCTGCCCCAGTGGTGCAATATTAATATTATTGCCGGATGTGATAAAGATGACGGGACAACTACTTATCTCCTTTAGTCCGCTGTTACAACGCTCGCTTTTTCTATTCGAAACACGAGCAAGGTTGTTTGTTTCGTTGAGTTTGATTTAAGCACGCGGTGTGTGTCTCGGCGAAGCACTCGACTGTGTATGCGTGATGAGATGATCGTTTATTTCGAGCTTTAGTATCACCAATAATATAACGCTGTGGTTCTTGAGAGTCGATTGCGTGTACTGTACGAAACATGCTTGTACCACACGGTGTGTTTCTGTCTTTCCGTTCTTTTTTATGGTTCTGAAGAAAATTCAGAGAAAGGTTGTGCATGCAAACTATCGAAGGCCCCAGTGACTCGCGTTCGAATTATCTTAGCATATCTCGATCGCGCGAGCGGGATCTGTATCCGTAGACTAGACACGAGAACGCTGCCGAGGGAGCGGGAGGAACGGACCAACCAACCCTTCGACAGCGTGTCGCCCGTGCGAATTTTAATATTGAATTTCTTATTGGTCAGTTTGTGCCCTCCAGGAGTGATGAACAGTTTCATGACGGTGTGGTAAGTCCTTTAATAAGGCTCAAAAAGATATACTATGGTTTTGTGTGCACAAGCCTTGTCGAGTTTCGAGACTTTCCCTATAATCTTCCAATCTGGGAGGATTCACTGTGCAGAGTATCATAAAATTGAAAGCAGAAATGTTAATAAGAGGCAATTTAATGAACAAGAATCCGTATACTCCAAATTCGTAACTTAATTAGTTTTCAAGATAAATAATTAAATTGAAGTATTAATGTAATTATTTTAGCTGATACTTTATACAAGTCATTTATTTACTTTCGATTCTGCATTTTTGTTGTATTTTATATATATAATTACAAAATTAAGGTGCATGTTCTCTGATTTATTTATTGCGAGAGATCATTCAAACGCTTATATTTGATATGCTCAGTGAACCCTCCGCAATAATACCCGATACAAATTATTTGTACGTTGTTTAAAAAGAGAGTAATTAATAAATTAGATTTTCCATATTGAACGTAACATAATTTGAATTTGCTTGACGCTTTTATATTTATGTGCATTTACTTTTGCATTAGTATTTAACTCAAAAACAAGTAGTTTCCTTACGTAAAAAGGAAGAGTATCTAGTTACTTTTACAATATTTTTTATAACGCCTATAAATGTATTGTGGCTTTTATGTAATAGCTCTGATTTGCATCGCGTATAAAAAAGAATTAATATTGCAAATCGAGATGATAAGAATATATTGATGATATATAGAATATTCTCATATCACATTATATAAACGCGGTCCAGATATAAAATCATATATTTGCACATTGTGATACGTGTTGCACAAATCTCCAAACAAATCTCCGGAATGTAATCGGATCTCGTGGATTTAGAGTAATATTTAATTGTAATACAGTAAGCACCAATTATCATCTATAATTTGCATAACATCGTTTTAATGCAAATCCGAGTTTCAGTTAGTTTAGTTCTTAACTGATTACGGTCCCAAAGCACATACAAGCTTATCACCGATGAATTATCTATTCTATCACATTATTATTAATTAAGAATAATTTTTTTATTCTTATTTTTAGCTGTCTTTCGCGATAAAAAGTACATTTATGGAAATGTGTGTTTCTATTTCTCGGAATATTTGTCATACCGGACGTGTAACTTTTTCACGATGTTGCCATATATCAGTTAATACGATCTTCTCTTATCTCTTTGCAACATTACGTAATTATTACTCATAGTAATTCACCAATTCACATTAGTCATATTAATAACTATTTCTATATTAACATATAATATATTGTCTATTTGTAGTTAATTACAACTTTTATAATCTTTCTTGACTGAGTTTATCTCCAGAATACAAAAAATGAGATGCATGCAAGGAGCTAATGAGATTATATACGAAATATTAAATAGTAGTATGCTCAATATTAGTTATGTATCGAAGGCATCTGAATGTCACACGCGTCACTCTGTATCTGTATTTTACGATATTCGGTATTCGGTTCATACATTTTAGTTTGAATTTATTTGAATCTTTTTAGGAACCCACTGGCGCAGCTGGAAGAGGAGAAACGTGAACATGATAACAAGATGAAGAAAATGGAAACAGAGATGGAGCAGGTTTTCGAGATGAAAGTTCGCGAGAAGAGACAGAAGTTGAAGGATTCCGAGACGGATGTAAGTAAAGTGTGCCGTTAATGTTATTTTTTTTTATTTTGGAATTTAAGTTGAGATCGGTAAAAATTCACTCAGATTATTCGGCTATTGTCCGGTTAACATTGGTTATTTAAATGGAAAATAAATTCAGCATTTAATAAGATATCTCTTTATTCGGTCAAGATCCTTTTTTCTCTTACATGAAATTAATGTCGATGCGAATTTTTGTCTTACCATATGGTATTTTTATATATTGTTCGGCGAAACGTAATTGTCTGAGTAGCACTAACGTCGAAATATGGGAAATGCGTAAATAGTTGCAGAGAAGGCACGAACAAATGCGACGTTCGTTGGAGCAGCAAGTACGAGAATTGGAGGAGAAGAGACGAGCGTTCGAGGCGGAGAAAACTATGTGGGAACAGCAAACTGGACACAGTATTGAAGAATTACGTAGACGCAGTTTAGAAGCGAATTCGAAAGAGTAAGTAGTCTGCATCGATGAAAACGACAAGATGTTGTGTTTTTTGCATTCTCATACGTTTATTTCTCCGTTGTGTCTCAAGAAAGTACATCGTTATTTTTCGCACGAAATTGTTTTGTTAGAAATGTTTATATATATATATATATATATATTTTATTCCAATATTCATTTTATTTTGTTTTTTTTTTATTTTATTTATTTTAATCGCTAATACGATTGCGAACGAAGCAGTTATACAGTATATCGCTTGATGCTTAGCCGCTGGTGATTTAGTATGGTTCTCGGAGTTGTTTAGACATCCGGTTTGACTGGCGTAAAAAGCATTCGGCGCAATTAGAGTCTGACGCAGCTTAATAGCTTTCTTGTACACTGTGTTCTGCTACCGTATCTTCTTCCAGCTACAGAGATTGTTTATCAAAAATGGAGTCGAGTTTGCCTTGGCGAAGTCATAATGGGATCTCATCGCGGAAGCTATTTAGTAGCTATTGAATAAAATTTTATAAATTAAGATTATGATATTTTATTCTTCATTTTGAATGAACTTAAAATAACTTTATAGTGTAAAAGTTTTTTTTTTTTTAATTAAAATATTTTTATCTCACAAAGTTGGAGAGAAATTTATTGATAGGGGAAAGATACGATAGTGGTACGATACATATTGTACAATATAGACTTTGCTCTTGCTATAGTATTTCGTAGTCGCTACGTGTTTAGACTTTGATGTGCAATTTAATAGTTGTTGCACCGCAATACATTCCATTCACGCTTGATATTTAAGATCCTTTACATCCTGATCACTTTTACGAAGCTTGCACTAATAACGGAACAATAATCATTATTGATTCGACTCTAAGATTATCTTCGCCGAACGAATTTTATTTTACAGTTTATATTCACGTTATATTATCCGCACATGTATTCTGACTTCCATTCGCATTGGGAATTTAGCGCTGAATGAAGCTGTTTAATTTTAACTTATAGTAAAATGTAATATCATTATCTCTCTCAAATGTACAATATTAAATGTTAAGCTGTTTTTTTTAATCCAGACACACAACATAATTGTTATTTAAAATACATTGACATGCATGAAACATCTTTTTTATATCAGTTGAATCGAGAATCACATTCAGCGCTAAATCGCTGCCGACGTTTGCTGCACCGTTCTCGTGAAATCCGATAGAGAAAACGGAAAACTTGTACAAAGAACGTCGGTAGCGTTCTCCAGAGCACTGTTCAAATGTTCAGTGTCCCGTTGATCTAATCGCGCGGGCACGTAGACTTAAGTCCGCGCGCGTATTTTTTTATATTCGAGATGTAGAAAAAATTCGCTTGCTACCGGATGTACATTCGCGAAAAAAGTCCGGTTTGTTTGTCTCTCTTGTGTGTATACCATATCGGGGTATCCTCCTGATCTAGGACAGGATCGATGTCTTCCGAGGGATCTGGAGGTGGCGGGGGTACGTTGAGGGGGTCCCGAGGGATAAGCAGCCTCCTTCGCCGTCACACCAGTTTCAAATCACCTCAAGACAGCCCCGCACAGATACAGCTTGTCATACAGCATCCTGAGCACCCTTAATAGAGACCGTCTCCCAGACCGCTCTCGCTTGCTAGCGAGAACCGTTCCGAGATCGCCGCGCCAACTGCTCCTCGCACTCGACCCTTATCAACCCTTATCCAGTTGAGATTGCCCTCTTTTAGTAGCGACAGTATCACTCGACGAATATTCCCTTGGACTGACAGGAGTGGGAATCAAAATAATTTAGATTAGTCAGTCACTCAAATCAAAATAGTAAGAAAAAGAAGTCTTTTATTTTCGAGCGTCACGCGCGATATCGATCGTCTGAATAAGGGTTGAAAGGAGGTCTTATCATACTCGAGAAGAGTAAGTGCTGCCTATTTTAACCATTACTTCTGTAAATTTCGTAACATTGTGTGTGTCAGCGTTTGTCTTAGCAAACTAATAGCGAATCAATAGTGCTAATTAATAGCGTATTCGATTAGACACACTCATTTTGTATTGGTGTGTACATAAAGCCGTCATAAAATGACACGTTTAATATAAATATAAAAACGGTTATATCGCATAATTTTCAATACATTTTATTATGTATGCTGTTAGGTAAAATATGTATTTTGTAATATTTGCATTTCACTTTTAAATTCAGATTAAATCAATGCACTTTATATGCATCCAGTGCACATTAACGTCCAACCGAATTCATTATAAAGCAAAAATCCAGTCTGTATCGCTTAAGTTACTTTTCAAGTGATTATATCCTGTAATTTGTTATCAATTTATTTTCGTCTCTTCTTTCTTCCTAAATCTTTAATAGAACTGTTACTTTAATTTTTTCAGTTTTTATACGAATTTCTTTTTGTTTATAGTGATTTAGTTTTTCGATAAAGATTTTTTAAATTTTGAAATAAGTAAATCTGAAAATTGAATATAACGGTACTTTATGTACCGCTTGTTGTGATAAGCTGCACTTACTCGACACGCGTGTGCGTGCGCTCATTGACCCATTCGATACATATCGTAATCCAAAGTGACTGTACATTTCTTGCGTCCCGCAAAGGCATCGCACGACATGAGACATGCGTTTACAAGTGTGATTCAGTGAATCTCTGTTTGCTATTTTCTACTCGATCTCCTCGCATTCACTTCACTCGTTGACGCATTTCATTCGCGCTTTAATTAATCGTTATGTCAACGACCCTCGTCGGGAGACATTACGTACGTTTAACGTTAATTAAAGTCGAGGAAAGTAGGATTAGAGCGTGCTGAAAGACTTGGAAATCGGGCGGCAGACAGAGTTGCATTCTTGGAAGTTGAAGTCAGTTTCTTATGCTGTGCGAATATTTAATTAGCGAGTATCTCTAGCCGGGCGTCTGTTAATCATACATTTGCCGAATTAAGTTTTAAGGAACATTCTAGCTTAATGCTGAAATGCAAATCATATAAAGCAAGTCTTACTTTGATTGAAGTTCAAGTCGATATTTAATAATGTTGCAATATTTCATTAGAAGTAAATTAATTGTAAGAGCGAGAAATACCGCAAATTGAAAGAAACTTGTCGTTGAAGGTTTAAGTTAAGAAAGTTTCGGCCTAGAAAGTTAAGAAAGTTCCGTCGCTAAGTTGAATTCTGTTTCAAATTTCCTACACGACGCAAACTCGTCCCGGCTAGTTTCTTCGTTTTTCCGGATACTACCTTGAGTCTAAATTCTTTGTGAATTATGTATTTCACACAATGTACGTCTCAAGCGCGATTCGTTACTCGTACACTCGAATCTCGTGTGTACTTTCTCGGCACGTTTTGTCGCCACACCATATACGCAAATGCGGTGTCTCGGGCTTTTGCGCTCCAATAAATCGCGGTCTGGGCAATACACAGCGCTTACGACTTATTAAGTATATACATATATATATATATATTAGCGATATGTACATTTAGCAACGTATTTTTGGCACTTCAACTTTGATAAACTTTGAGATTGTATGTAAAGAGAAGCGCAAAAATTGTATGTCACTCGTCTTCGAGCATGAGCGTCATTTTTCGTACTCATGTCTAACATGTTTTACACGCACATACACGTACACGTGCACACTTTAACCCTTTACCGCATCGCGTGCCATACTTGACCCTCCTCTTCTCCCTGTCGACAGTGTGGTTGCCGCATCACACATCCGTGTCACGTTCGTTCCTGATCATACTTAGGTATTCGTGCCGCTATTTGTTTGAATGTTCTCGATTGCTGATGCTAGCAAAAGTACGGCTTTTTCGTTGCTCACGACAAACGGACTGTACACATTTCTTGCATTCCCGACTTTTGCCAGGTTAATATTTCACGAGGTATCATGGCATGGCAAAGGTAAGTTGGCCCGTCTGTCGAGAGCGCGGTTGAAACGTTATGAGAATTATAAAGCTTTTGGAGAAGTTGCCTTTTCCTGTAAGAGGAGGCTCTTGTACTTTTTCCATACCTCAGTACTCCGATTTTGTAACTCTTAATGACAGTGACGGTATATTGTCGTTGCGCAGATATTATACGTGGTAACAAAATTACGCAACGACAATAAAACGATATTGAGCTGTCGTCAAAGAATCGGGATACAAGACTGAACTTCTTCTACAGTTCATTTTTTTTCTTTTTTTCACATAGAAAGAAAAAGTCAAAAGATGAACAAGAAGTTCAGTTCTGCAGAATTCCATGGAGACTTCACTCTTATTTAATATTCAATATTGTGTTTTATAATGGAATAATCTACGGAGATTTTGTGTTAAAAGTTTAACGATTTGTAATTTATCAGTATATCTGAATTACAGTTTATAAAGTGACTATATATTTGAAGAAAAGCCATCTATAGATTTCGATATAGTATACTACTTGTTCCGTTCCAGTCAGCAACATGAAATGAATTGGAATTCAAGATACACTAATGTAGAATGTTAGTTAGATGCGAGAAGAAAAAAATGTAGAAAACTGTAAAAGTTTTCCACACATACTCCATGGAGTATGGGAAAAAAACAAGCAGAGAGATTCGACTCTCGAAGAGTCGCGAGAGAAGTTCAACGAATATTTTTATCACCGAAAAAGACGTCCCGACACGAGAGACACGCGGTAAAGGGTTGACATTAACGACCACCTCGTACGTTCGCGGTTTGTAAAGTCTGAATTCGATTGTAAACTCTCAGCAAGCTGTCGGTGTCTCATACGTTTGATTTTACTCGTATACATTAGTTTCCTGTTTATCGCTCGCGATTGCCCAAAAGTACACGCTCGTAATTTAGATCGCTCGCACTCGATCTAACGTTTCGTTTCGACGAGACTCTGAATCGCGGAGGATCGATCCCAAAGAGAGGAAGCAGAGACAGCTTGGTAGAGGATATAACCGCCTATTACTAATAATCACTCGCAAAATTATACATTGTTAATTTCGTAATTGATAATCTTTTTTTTATCTCTTGCAAATAAATGCAATGCTTACCTAAAACCATTACTAACCGTTTACAATCCTCTCGTTGCGATTATTTAGCTTGTCGAAACGTTTGCGAGGCGACAATGGAAAATTGCGAATATAATTTTTTCGCAATAAGAATTTAAAAAAGAAAGTAGTAAACGATGAAAAATGTTTCTAAAACGTGTGGAAATCCGTGAAAAACAAACGCAATTTTCCTTTATCGCTTTTTGTTATGTTTTATAGTCTTCTATGTGCATATAATATTTTTAAAGTTTTATCACATATCGTCATTTTAAATTCGGTTTTTTATACAGTTAATTTTTTCATAAAATGTTTTACATGAAATTTAATTTCGAATCAAAGCGAGTAAATAACGGATCTTCAAGTAGAACGTTTTCTTGAATTTACTCGCGTTCCTTTTGTCTCATTCTTTTCTCTCGTTTTCCCACGAGGGACTTTTATTTAAGATGACGATACTCTCGGTGTGTATATGTACCTACAGTTTTATGTAAAACGTTAGAGAGAGTTCAAATATCGTAAAATACAAACGACTTTGTATCTTTGTATCCGCGATAAAAATAAGGACGTGATATCTACCGCGGAAGAAAGTTAAGCAAAAGTCGGAAGCAACGAAGCACGAAGCGGAAACGCGGGACTTGATTTCTGGATACACACGTGAGATCAGCATGTTGCTCCCCTGGTCGCGAACGGAGGATGGGTTCGAAGCATGGTTTTCGCATGAATAGATTTTTCATTCGCAAGATATTTATTTTGCATTGCAGTCTGCGAATCGGCGATAACAATACGCATAACAATTTCTATAACGATACGTTACGAGTCACGTCTCACTTCAAGATTTTTGTTGAAACTGTCGACGTTTTTGGATCTTGACTTTCTGAATTTTTCTAGAATATCTGCAGCAAAATATAAAGCATTAAATAAACAAATTTTTCTCACGAAATTTATAAGGTAGGGTCACACATGCAAAGAGAAAAGAACAATAAATTTCTTTATGTAATACGAAGAGAAATTTTTTAAATAATATCTGTATACATATAATCATACTTTGGACACTTCAAAATATTCACTATCATGCGAATTTTTCATGTAATTATGGAAAAAACGCGATTTGTAAAGAATTAGTGTAATTATTATACAACAGCGTTTCTGTGATTTGAATTATTCTTTACGCTGGTTGAATTTGGCTTTCTGATGTCACATATAAACGGAGATGATCGAGGATGAAAGTCCTCGCTCCAGATTTCATCAAGATCACTTCCTCTTTCGTTCTCACTCTCTTCATCGAACATTCCGTGTCACACATATGCCGATTATCGGAAAGCGTTGATCGGTGTGCAACTTGGATTTTGCGTGATGCAATAATCTTGATATGAAAATTCTCCTTTCAGGACTGTCGACGGTAAAGATAAGAAGAACAAGAAGAAAGGCCTCTTTTAATCGTGTCGATTGGCAAGAAACAGTCAGGAAGAAAGAGAGCAGGCAGGAACAACCTGATTCCGGCGTGGCTGTCGTACTCTCAGTCACGCTATTTACCGATGACATTGACGACGAACACGAGTCAGGTAGTTTCGATCAACGTAGACTCGATTCACGCGTGAATGATATACAGGAATCCTCGATCGGAAAAACTGATAATCTCGTCATATGCTCGACACTGAAGGATTATCGCATGAACATGAGATTAATCGGTTGCGAAACAGCTGTGATATCCATGTTGATACGTATCGTCCTGGGC